TTGAATGTGTCAAATGCGAAAAATGCGGTCACACAATTAAACCATTAAATGAATTAGAATTAGATAAAGAACATGTTAAAGTTAAATGTTGGCCGTGTTCATGTGGTAGAACCATGCATACAGTACATACAGTAAAAAAGAAAGATGCCGACGGGAGCACAGTTGAAGAAAGTTGGGTAGAAAACTTCAAAAGTGGATTTGGTAGGTTATTTACACCTGAGAAAGAATGATGAAAAAATAGTATTTAAAGAGTAGATTTAACACCACTTCAAACGCATAAATAAATAAATACATATATAAATATTTATATATAGAAATGTCTGAAGTTGAGAATGATGCTATTGCTGAACTATCAAAGAAGATAATGACAGTTAGTAAAAATGTTAAACTGTTGTACGAGATGATAAAAACTATTGACCAGAAACTTGATGCAAAGGCAAACGAACCAAACAATAACAATGAAGAGAAGGAAAAGATTGACAAAATCTTTGAAAAGAAAGGGATAGGCAGACCCAGCGGTGATTATGACACGAAGCGTAAAAAATATTGTGATATGTTAAATAAGGGACAAATCAAAAGTCCAAAAGAACAAACATTAGAATATTATAAACTAATTAAGGGTGATGATGGTAAATATGTAATTGTTGAAAATTAAAATATAAATAATTCTATTAATATGAATTTATTAGAATTATTTAGTGGAACTGGAAGTGTGGGAACCATAGCAAAGTCGCTTGGATTTAATGTAATATCATTAGACTTGAAAAATGCTGATATTAATTGTGATATTTTGGAATGGGATTATAAACAATTTGACAGAAACCATTTTGATTTTATTTGGGCATCACCCCCTTGCACTGAATACAGTATTGCAAAAACAACCGGAATAAGAAACATTGAATATGCAAATAGTATTGTCTTAAAAACTATTGAGATTATCAAATATTTCAATCCAAAATATTATGTAATTGAAAATCCACAAACTGGATTATTAAAAAAACAGGAGTTTATGAATGAACTTGACTATTTTGATATTGATTATTGTAAATATGGTTTTAATTATCGGAAAAGAACGAGGTTGTGGAATAACATTGATAAATGGAAACCCAGACCATTATGTAATAAAGATTGTGGTAAAGTGGTTAATAACAAACATATTGAAACCGCACAACGGATGCCATCAAAAACCAAGGCGGAATGGGGTGATAATTATGTAATCCACAAACAGGAAGATTTATACAAAATACCTGCTGAATTGATTTGTGAAATCTTGGTGAGTTTGGTGGATTAAGGAAAACGAGTTTGGGGTTGGTGTTGAAACTTGAAATTTGCAGGTTCGTCCAACGACAAAAGAGTAAAAATTATGAAATTTAAAATTTTGAAAGTAATGAATTTTAAGGGGAGAAATCCATAGTTTTTAAAATAGATAAAACACCAAAATTATATAGATATATCCGGAAACTCTTGCCAACCGCCAAACAGGGCAGGAAAAATTGGCGAGAGTTTCCCCTTATATACTACTATAAAAATATAAAAATAAATACAAAACAACCCTAAAAAGGCTCCGGACGAGGTCCCGCACCCAAGCTTGAAGTTGGTCGTCATACCTGCGCGGAGCGAAGTCGCGTTGGGAAAAGGGATGGGGCGGGTCAGGGTAGAGGGTGAGGTGCCGACACTTGCAGACCGCGACTTTTTCAAGCGAGTCCCCCCTCATCCCTTGGTTGAAGCCTATTGTTCCAAATGACCCAGCCATGTGCCCACATACCGATTGTGGAAATTTAGGGTGTGGTTGTGGAAATTTAGGGTGTGGTTGTGGAAATTTAGGGTGTGGTTGTGGAAATTTAGGGTGTGGTTGTGGAAATTTAGGGTGTGGTTGTGGAAATTTAGGGTGTGGTTGTGGAAATCAGAGGCTTGGCTGTGGGACAGCTACTTGCTGACTACTCACGATGCCATATTGGCATCACCCGCCGTTTTGGCGAGTGCCTCACGGGCACCAACGCGCTTGGTCAACTCAGTTTTCATCATCTCGCGGAGCTGGGGCATCCCAAACTTCTCACTCTTGGACTGCGCCCAGTTGTATGCCAAACAGATTGTGAGCTCCGCGCCTTCAAGGATGCCCTGTGTCATCTGGGAGGTGTCCTTGATGGCGACCATTTCCTTGCCGAACAGAAAGGCGCTAGCTTTCTTCAACTTGTATTCGGCAGACCCACCGGTGTCTGCCGACACTGCTGAATAGGCATTCTGGAGCAGGTCCTCATCAAGGTCAGTGAGCAACACCTGAATGGTGTTGATTGGGTCCGCCTCTGCTTTGGTGTAGAAGGCGGACATCTTGCCATCGCAAGTGGCGACGCATTGCTTCAAGTCGGCCTCGCTGGTGGCAATGCCGTTGAAGATAGACTTGACGGACTTTTCAAGGGCCTTGGCCTTCTCCTGTGCCACAGCGGATTTGGTGGTGGCCTTCTTCGCGCCCTTGCCCCCTCCATGGAGCGCAGGAGTGAGCTTGAAGACGACCTCATCGGTGTAGTAGGCATCAATGCCATCCCAGTCGTTCAAGGTGGAGGCGCTACGGCTGAACTTGATGACAAAGAGGGTCATGTCAATGTTCAGGGACTTCTCCAATGCCAAGCGCAGGTCTTCACCACGAGCCTTGTTCATCTCATAGACATAGAACACCTTGAAAGAGCCCGATGCGGTCGGCACTTCCAAGCCAAGCTTCTTGATATTCTCGCCGTCAAGGTTCATATCGTCCGTCACGCCAATGTGGATTTCTTCAAAGTCTTCCTTCTTGTTGCCCATGGTCTGGGCAATGTAGGAGCGCTTCATATCCTCCAACATCCAGAGCTCATCCGGATTGACCTTGATGAGGGCATTGGGCGGGTTGAGCTGTCGCATCAGCTTCAACCGCTTCTCGTGAGCCTCAGTCCAGATGAAGACCGATGACGAAGCTGAGCCCTCATCCTTCTCAGTGCCAGAGCAACACTCCTCCTCTTCGGCGGTCTCTTCATCCTCCTCATCGGTGGCGATGGGCTCATTCCGAGCCGCATGGTGAGAGACAATGGCATCCCAGTTCTTGAAGATGTATTCCACGGCACCCGCCTTGGACTTTCCAGTGATGAAGTGCCCGAGGTTCTGCATCAAGCTCCTCAACTGGCTCAATGTCAGGGTATTGAGGTCTTCGTTCGTTGGAGTGGAAGGCGTCAGTTTCTTCAAGGTCTCCAACTCATAGACAGCACCTCGGGGCATCTTGAGGAGACAAACGCCGTTGTCGTTCTTGATGATAACCAAGGTCATCTTTGAGTTGGCAGGAGGATTGCGGATTGAGCCCTTGCGTAGGCTCAATGAGGTGATTTGCCCCCATGTGGTGGCAATGTGTGAAACCAAGCGGTCTTTGGTGGAGATGTTGGACACCCTCACCGAAAGCTGGGAGAGCATACCCTTCATGTCGTCCATTGTCAGAGTGCTCAACAGGTCCGCGTCAGGGCTCTGTGCCGGACCCATTGTCAGCTCACCGACACTGATGATGTCGCCACCACTGAAGCCCTTGACAATGAAGGATTGACCGCGCTGAACAACAAGCATTGCGAAAAGCTGTTGCCTCAAAAACTCACTGCTGATGATAAGCCAAAAAGCACTATGGTGTGTATTGTGTCTTCGGCAGAAGGCACATCAGCAATGCTTGACACACAGAACCTCAAATACGACGCAACACAGGAAGGGGCACTAATTGAAGATGAAGGCGAAGAAGACGAAGCGCACGGCGTGGCGAGGCGGTCGTTTGTTTCGTTTGTTGTTGTTGGGGTTATGCAATTGTTCTTTGTATGGTCGGTTGTTTGGTTTTTTGTTTGGTTTGTTGTTTGGTGGTTTTTTTCTATGAGGGTCTTACCCCTAAGCTCATGTTATGGTTTTGGTATGGTTGATTTGGGGGGCAGTTATTAAATGGGGTGAAAACCATAGGGGGGAGTCTATGGTATTTGCTTGTGGGTAAGCCTCTGCTTGCTGTTAGGGGGGGGGGGGTGAGGGGGGTTAGGGGGGTTGGGGGGGTTGGGGGGGTTAGGGCGGGGGGGTTAGGGGGGTTAACAAGCTTTAGGGTTGGGGTCATTCTAGCCCTTTTGGGTGTCTTTTAAAGGGGGACCAAGCAAATCTATTTTTTCTTCGGGGGTTGATACTTAGATGGAATGGACGAATGACTAAATGGTTAGTAACTCTGGTACTGGACTTACAACCTTGCCCTTGGTGGGTTACAACCAGGGTTCCAACTACCTAGCCAGCTCCCAGACCATCTAGGCACCCTTTTTTTGGGTGTCTGTTAAAGGGGGACACTCGGGCATCCACCATTCTTTTCCGGGGTACACAAAAAATCGACGCACCCATCTGGCGACAGACTATCAACAGCCCATAGCGGCTATGGCAATTGCGAGCCCAGTCGCTTGAAACGGCAACATGGGTTCCTGAAAGCCACGTGTCCGGTTTCCTTGTTCGAACTACGTCCATCGAATTTGAATGCTTCGTCCTGGCCTTCGAAACCATCCACCCAGAGGGTGGCTCAGTTGAAGGAAACACGCATTGGATGATTCGTTCGGTGGTTTTCAACATAAAGGGCGCCATCCCTTCCAAAACATGGGTATTCATTGCCCATTTTGGTCCAAAGATCTTGCGCGGTTGTGTCCTCAAAGTTGGCTGGCTCCTATTAGTGTGCAAGAAGCACCATCCGACAAATTTCTAACGAGGCCGGACGAACCCAAGGGACAGCATGGATGGAACCTAAAGGCGGTCTTTCAGGACTTGTTTTTTGGCCCTGTTTTGGGGATCTGTTTTTGTCCATGGGAATACACCACAAAAGGTAATCGACCGGACCCCTCATACACCCCCGCCCTCGCCATGGACACTAAGAGTTGCATTTGGCAGACTCAAACACTAAAAAGAACAGTACCCTAAATGAAGGAGGTTGCAGAACCCCCCCCCCCCCCCCGAATGCCTTCCCATGTTCTCCCCCCGCCAAGGTGCGCAGGGCTGGCGTCATTTTACTGCCTGGACTTCACCCCCGGCAACGGCTTCCTGCGCGCTGGGCTGCTCAGCTGCTGCGCCCTTTGCGCCTCAGCCGAACCCGACTGGATTTGTTCCGGTCGTGGGCGTCAGTGGTTGACTCTCAATCCTCTCCCCCTAATAAGCAGTGGCTGTTTTGGGGTCGGCTGGGGGGAGCTTTAGTATTAAGAGAAGGTTTGCGAATAGGAAGAAGGGATTAACTTGTGGGAGGGGGGGGGCTTGAGTTGTTGTGTGGGTTCTTTCTTTTTTTGGGGGGGATGGTTTGGGTTTTTGTTTGTTGGCGTTGTTTTGGATCTGCTACCATTTTTGTGGTGTTTGTTTTTGCTCTTCCTGAAAACAACAGCAACAACAAGACGAGTTCCCAACCCACAACAAGAACGTCAACCACAAAAAGCAACCATCAACAAAGGTTCACACAACTCCCAGAAGGGCAAGTACCAAAACATTGACAAGTTCCAATAGATTGATTTTGCGAACAAACACCCAAAAGATTGTCTAGAACGGTTAAACAGACTGGTTCGAAAGCTGATTCAGGGCGATCTGTGGTCTGGCACTGTGCGCGGGCATGGGCATCAAACAAGAACTTATTAGGGATCAAACAAAACTTCTTCTCATTCTCACAAGGAAGGAAGGAAGGAAGGAAGGAAGGAAGGAAGGAAGGAAGGAAGGAAGGAAGGAAGGAAGGAAGGAAGGAAGGAAGGAAGGAAGGAAGGAAGGAAGGAAGGAAGGAAGGAAGCAAGGAAGCAAGGAAGCAAGGAAGCAAGGAAGCAAGGAAGCAAGGAAGGAAGGCTTCTTTGAACATCATGGGGGGGCTGCCTCCCCCCCAAACTCCCCCGCTGGTGTTTAGTTTACAGAGATTAAGGCACCTCGCTTCTTCGAATATCATTGGGGGGGCTGCCGCCCCCCCAACCCCCCTGCTGGTGTTTAGAATGTTTACAGAGATTAGCACACTCTTTGTTTAATCATCGCTTCTTCGAATAACATGGAGGCTCCCCCCCCCCGCCCCCCAACCCCCCCGCTGGTTTTTAGAATGTCCGCTGGTGTGTTACATGTGCTTGCAGAGTTCCCCAAGCAACATTGTGACTTGCTGTTGGGTCTCACGCAAACTTATTTGGATTCCCTGCGCAAAGTTTATGGCCGTAGACTTGTGGCCTTTGCCGTGTTTGATGTTGTTAGCTTCCGTAGCAGGGTTCCACAAGTTAATTCTGCGACATAGTATTTTGCAAAGTTTTCCTCCAGGTTGCCATAGACTTTATCTTTCTTTCTTTCTTTCTGTCTTTCTTTCTTTCTGTCTTTCTTTCTTTCTTTCTTTCTTTCTTTCTTTCTTTCTTTCTTTCTTTCTTTCTTTCTTTCTTTCTCTCTCTCTCTCTCTTTCTGTCTTTCTTTATAGATCATTGTTTATATTTATTTCTTTCTTTCTTTCTTTCTTTTTTTCTTTCTTTCTGTCTCTCTCTCTCTCTCTTTCTGTCTTTCTTTATAGATCTTTGTTTATATTTATTTCTTTATTTCTTTATTTCTTTATTTCTTTATTTCTTTCTTTCTTTCTTTCTTTCTTTCTTTCTTTCTTTCTTTCTTTCTTTCTTTCTTTTTTATTTCTTTATTTCTTTCTTTCTTTCTTTCTTTCTTTCTTTCTTTCTTTCTTTCTTTCTTTCTTTCTTTCTTTCTTTCTTTCTCTCTCTCTCTCTCACTCTCTGTTTCTCATTTTTTCATGTTTCTTTATCTTTCTCTTTCTCTTTCTCTTTATCCCTTGCGAAAGTGCTGCGCCTGCCACAAAATATTCACCTCACCTTGCGACAGTGCTGCGCCTGCCACGAAATCTGTACCGCGAAAGTGCTGCACCTGCCACGAAATGAAGAAGTTGGTTTGTGAGTTTTGTTGAGCCTCTGATGTTTTTATTTCAATAGTAAATCTATGAGAAGAAACTTGTTTGATCCCCAATAAGTCGATTTTTGATCTTCAGGCATAAGTTTTCTTGCTGCCTTCAGAGTTTTTTTGATCCAACCCCGCGCTATGAACTGCGCACCTATTTGAATCATCACTTTCTCGGCTATCATGACGGGGTGGGGGGCTGCCGACCCCGCCATCCCCCGCGCTACCATTTTTTTCTCCTCACAGAGAGTATAATGCACCCCTAATTGAATCAAGCGCATGCTTACAGACATACATCATACATAGATTACATACATACATGCATAAACAATAAAACATAAACATTAAACCACTAATTGGTGCTGCTGAGGATGCGGGAGGCACTGATGATGCTGAGGATGTGGGAAGCCAAGGCAATATAAAGCCCCCAAAGGCCGCAAACCGCAACGAAAAACCAACCAGACCTTTTGCCTACCTGAAACCTGACGACCAAATCGCAACTGGAAAACTCCAAGAATAGAACTTTGGGTGCGGGTTTATTTTCTGTTTCTCGTTTGTCTGTTTATATATATATATACATATTTGTTGTCGTTTTCGTCCAGGCCAGGAAAATGCAGTATTTTACAGCATTTTCTCACGATATGAACGTATTCTACAATAGCCCGTCAACATCTCTGAAAGATAACATACGCGGAGAAACGCACGGCACCCTTGCCCGAAATGCTGATAGCCACAAAAGTCCGTTGCGGATTCTGAGGGTGTGATTTAAGCAAAACTGAAACGGGGCCTTGGTCAGAGCGGCATGTGGTGGAAAACCCTTGGAAAACGGCCGTGCAAAACGCCACAAACCCATAGATTTTCAATGGTTCCTACTTCCCTTCTTTCTTGGAGTGCTTGCAACTACACGTTCGGATTCCTACCCGGCGGGTTGCTTTTGCCTTTGAAAAGCTGCCTGTTTCTTGCTTGTTTGTTGTTGTCGGTTTCCCGGATTGTTATGATGTTGTTTGAACTGTCTGTTCGCAGAACATGCCTTCTTGGTTGTTGGCAGCTGGCAGTTGTGTTTTGCTGCAACTGGTTGTTTGATAGTTTTGGGGAGGGTAGCTTGTCGATTTTGTTGGAACTTGTGTTGCTCGGAACTTGTTTGTTGCCCTCGTCCTTCTTTTTTTGACGCGCCTTTTGATGCTTGTTTACGCTGGTTTGAAGGTGTCTGTTTTGGCCCGAAAACCAGAACCTGCTTTTGTAGGCACTTGCTTGTTACTTTATTTTGTCACTTTTTTTGGGAGCCTCGGCGTGTTCAGCCGCAGCGTCCGGTCCAGTCACGCAACTGCCCGGATGTGTCACAAGCCCACACCCAATTTTCCACGCCCCAACCACATATTGCCCAGGTTTGTACTACGGGGACCAGCGCACACTGTACAGCACCTCGGCCGGCGCTGGGCATTGCGATGACACTGCAGGTGACATGGACATCCGCCGCGAAAGTTCTTAAAGCGAGGTACACGTTCAAAGCGATGGGGCTGGTTTGCGAAGTGCTGAACTCGAATTGAGGCGATGGGAGGACTGGTGAAAGAGTCCTTTTTGGTACAGACAAGGTTTTGCCCACTGGGAGGGATTAGCATCGGCGGCTGTGCCCTGCTCCCTTCCCCAAATTTCATGACTTTAGTTCGCGCGCGCTGACCCAGTTTCTGGACTGGGTGAGAGGATTGGTTTGGTGGTACACAAGAAGTCTGGAATCTTTTGGAATTGCAACTAAGTGAACCCAGCTTTGCAACCGTGGCAGATTTGCAGTTTGTGGTGCGTTTCTTATTTGTTTTTTTTGTCAAAACCCTGTAGCCCTGGTGAACCTCAAAATGGCTTGAATGGATGTTCCACCCCAAAATGGGATCGTAGGTTCTGCAACCCATGGCCACGTTGGCTTACCCATCGCTTCTTCCTCGCGCGCGGACGTCGCCAGCCATGGCTGGTGGCCTTTATGGCTGGGCGCGGCTTTCGGCGGGTAGGCGACGTGTTTCATGGCCTTCGGCTGCGGCGAAATGACAAACTTTAGAGCCACGAAAGAAGGAAGCGCGCGCAGGGCGCTTGCGAAGCTCCTGCTCGTGTTTTGTTTTTGTTTTTCTCCCGAAGTGCGTGTCGCTGAGTGCAAGTCGCTGAGTGCAAGTCGCTGAGTGCAAGTCAGCCTGCGCAAGTCAAGCTGCGCAAGCTGCTGCCCGGAGAAAACATGGCCAATGTTCAAAACCAGTGGGATCCCATTTTGGGATAGGTGAATTCACCATCCATTTTAGAAGCTATTTTAGTGGTTGGATTGGGTTTGACCCATGGCCACATCACTCTCACGAGATACTCTGCGCCAGCTCTGCGGAAGTTGCTCTGAGCAAGTCACGTTGCGCAAGTTGCCTTGTGCGAGGTACTCTACTCAAGTCGTATTGGCTCAAGTCACTCCATGTCAGTTTGCTCGAGTCACGCGCAAGCCACTTTATGCAAAGTTGCCCTGCAAGACACTTTGCTGCGCACGTGTTACGCTGAGCAAGGCACTTTGAACGAGTCACTTCCGGGCCTTCTACTCAAATAACTCTATGCAAGTTGCGAATCACTCCGCGAGTCTCTCCGCGCAAGTCACTCTTCACAGGCAACGTTGTGCGCGACTTGCTCGGAGCAAGTCCCACTGTGCAGTATCGTTCTGGGCAAGCCACGCTGCGCAGGTCACTCTACGCAAGCCACTTTTCCCAAGTTACTCTGAGCAAGTCGCTTTGCGCGAATCACTTTACGCCAAGCTCTCTATGCAAGTAACTCTAAGACTATGCCAATCGCAAGTCACTCCGTGCAAGTCGCTCTGCACAGGTCACTTTGCACAAGTTACTCCAATTACTCAAGTCACTTATTGTGCGAGTTACTCTGAGCAAGTTTTTTACTGTGCAAATTGTCACTCTGCTCGAGTTATTTGCTTTGCGCAAGTCGCTCTACGCACAGCGCTCTACGAAGTCGCTCCACGCAAGCCTCTCCATACGTAAGTCACTCTCGTGCAAGCCATTTTTCGGAGGCCGCTCTGCGCAAGTCGCTTCGAAGTACCACTAGCAAGTCCCCCAAGTCACCTTGCTCTTTTGTCACTCTGGCGCACTGCGCAAGTTGAGAATCCGAGCAAACCAATAATCCAACACTCACACGACAATGCGCAAGCAGTGCGCTGCAAGAACATGACAACATGGTCGAACAGCATTTGTTCCCATAAACAAGCTCTTTTTTTTTAAACTTCTCTCATCCAGCTTTGCTGCAGCACACGTGGTCACGGAAGCGCATCACATTAAACGCAGTCACACCACATGCGTGACCCTCTTCCGCGACCCCCATTCTCTGAAGAACCGACCCCTTGACTGACTTTCGCTGCCAAATGTGGTGGTGTGCTTGAAGCATAAAGTATCCGCGATGAGGATGCGGGCGGGGCGCCGCCTTGTATTGTCGCGTGCCGCCGTGCAGGCTTGAATTGCGCAAGGCCTACTGTGCTGGCTTTAATGGGAGGTCAGGCCCAGCAATCATTGTATGTTGTGTGGCCTCAGCTGGCGGATGCCATCGAAGCATCCTCTGCGCTACAAATGCTGCCTAGCCCCCACAATTGAAATGTATAGAAGGAAGAGATGGTGATGAGTCATGAGCATCATGTTGCTTTTAGACTGCCTTCCAGCAACAACAATCAGTGGCACCCTTAGCTATGCCAACTATTTCCCGAAAGAAGCTTCGGATAAAGACAAGCCTGTTGACAACCACATACCGAGTAGGAACAGCCGTAGGGTTCTGCAACTGTCTGGTTTTTGACATCCAGAGCTGTTCATCCCACAAAAACTAGGTAATTATGTCCTCGCTTTCCTGGCACTGACGACAAAGGGTTACTCTTACCAAGTACCCTACCCTCTTAAGAGGGTTTGCTTGTACCTCTGTGTTACTTTTTAGCGCATCCACTCTGGGCAAATTCCTTTACGTACAAGCTTACTGATCTGCGGGTAAAGTGCGCGCGGGTTGCGTGATGAAGGTCCTTTGGGATTCCTTCTTCCGGGAGAGGTGCTTCGCCCTCTCGAGAACTTCCCTCCATTTGCAAACGCATATTTGTTGTTTTCTTTGGGGTGTAAGAGTTGAATTCATCACTGGACATGCTTTTTTAATGTTTTGGGGCCAAAAATCCAAACTACTGGACAGGTTTTTATGTTTTCCTGGGGCCAAAAATCCAAATGGAAGTTGAACCCCGTGGAAGACGGGAGCCTTGCGCTTGGAGCTCAGGACCCGACTCCGAACTCCTGGGGCCTTTGCCCACGTGCCATTTCTGGGCGCCTGGCTTGGACGTGGCTGGTGGGACTCGGGTGGCTAAGTCAGAAATTCACTTGCCCAAAGCGAATCGAGCTTTTGACCTTGGGGATTTCTTCTTATGTTGGCCCATTTTTGGCGAAGGCGCCAGAAGGTGAACCTTTTTGTTCTGGGTCCTTTGGGCAACCTAAGGATATTAGTTACTAGTGAGATGAAGAGCCAGAGAATGTGAAGGACTCCTCTTCAAGCCCCCCCCCCGGTTTTTCCCTGGTTCCTGAAACAGCTTCGCTTATTGGTGAAAAGGCGCATTTGACAGGCTTTTTGGGGAGGGGGTCATTCCTATACTTCATGAGCCCCCTCAAGCATCATTGACAATATGAATAATATGTCATGCACCTTGGGGGCTGCTTGGTTTCCCTCTTGGTTGGTGTGGTTTTCACGGCTCTAGATTTGGGGATGAACCTCTGCCACTATGGCGGAGACGTACATAGTCACTTGCTAGCCCTTTGGTTTGACCTTTTCCTTACTGTTGGCATGTTGTTTAGTTCTTTGCTTCCTTGGCACGTTGGCTGCTTGGACGTACATCTGTCTTGCTGCGAGAAAGAGTTGAAGAAGTGCACGTGTTTGGCTCTGAGGCACCAAGAATCTTCGAAGAGCTTCGACTTCACAATGATATCAGACAGGAAGTGCTCAACCAATAGGGCGATGAAAATAAGCCCCACCCCGACCTCCACCCCCTTGCCAACAATTCCGGCCTGAAATAGACGAAGCAAAACAAATCCTAAATGGAACTCCCTGCGTTGTTTGCTTGTAAGTACTTTCACCTAAATCAAGACGGGTTCTTCGCGAAGCCCATGAAGAAGACATTTGTTCACGGAATCCAAATGAGGGAACCTCACATTTCTGGCCCTTGATTTCACTTTTCTGCCGGCAAAGGTAATTAAGCCATGATGCCACGAGCGATGGGCTTTTGGCTCAGGAGAAGCAGAGGGACCAGGACCTCCCCAAGATGGTTTGAGCGCCTTGGCGGCTCAGGGGGCCTACGGGCCTACGGGCCCAGGACGTAAAGGAGAAGGTCTGGTTCAATTGGAGCAGGCGATCCGCAATTTCTGGGGATCCGCGATTCTCATCCGCAAAAGCGTAAGCTTGAACTGTGCAGAGTGCAGCATGCTGCATTGCTTGCGAAGTGCCTCAACCCCCGCTATGCTCAAATCCATGTAGGTTAGGCACTCAGATAGATGGATCCGGGATGCTTCAATTGAAAGGTCGGGCCAAGTTTTGCGACGCCCACGTCTCTTTGTTTTGGGACCAGTTCTATAGGTGCGAGCCAGCCGCTTGGAGCCGCACGGAACCGTTGGACAAGACTACTTGTCCTTTCAAAGGGAGCCTGCAAAGGGCAGGTGCAGGGATAAAGCTCGGATGTGTGGTGGAAATTCTACTAGTGAAGAGTGAATGAAGCAATAGAACAAGGATATCTATAATATACATATGTATATATATATATTACATATATATATATATGTATACTATATACATATATACGCGTCCTCACACATTTACACATATATAAATATATACACGCATGTGTTCATGTCATGGCAAGGCCTAACTCCAGTCCCGGGTCGTGTCCGCAGCCGACCGATCCGCCGCAAACAGCGGAAAAAATCGCGGCCAGTGGCGCCCAAGGCGCCGCCGCCAGGGCACGTAGGTGTCCTTTTGATCGGTGAGCCTGGCTAAACATAGATGGGTTCCACTGGTTTTTAATGGGGTTTTGTGGCCCATTTACCAGGGAAACCCCATTTGTTTGTCCAAAAGGCCACCTATGCCAAGGCAACTCGTTTGGAAGGAGGTTAGGAAGCACGGAGAAGGCCGGAGGATGATTGATTGAGGGGTTTTTGGGGTTCGAACCGCTATGGAAACAATGGTTGTGTTAATGAAATTATTATTGATGTTTTAGGATTGGCATATATAATTGGGTCACAAGGCCATTTGTTTAATGGGGGCAAGATCTGAAGCGTGTGTGAAGAAACGTGAGCATGATCTGAAACGAGCCCCTGTTGAGATTTCGTGTACAACATATAAAGGAATACCAAGAAACAAACCTGGAGGGGGCCCTAATTTTGCAACACATCCATGATTCATTCATAGCTTAGTCTCAACATGAACTGCCCCTTTGGCTGTTACTTGGCTTGGTTGCTCATTGGCTTGACCTTTAACCTTTGCAGTGCCTGGAGGTTGACAGCTTTAAGTTGTTCGCAGGGACTCAGTGGCGCCAACCCAGTCTCGGCGGCGGATTGCTAACTATTGCAATCAGGGAACCAGGGATGCTCCAGAAATCACTGTACACCAGCTTTGCCTGTTTGGACTTGTGGATTCAACTTGCAACATTCACCTAGAATGCGGGGCCCTGAGACTCATTTCCCATATGGACTCGTGCAGGAGAGACTCCGCAAAAAAAAAAGAGCGGCCGAACTGCACCCCTTGAGCCAAGCAGAAATTGGGGCGAGAACGGCGTGAAGCTCTTTGATCAGGGCTCCTTAAATGAAATTGGGGCGACGGCGAGAAGCTCAATGAATCAGGGCACCAAAAATAAGAAGTTCATTCTGCAACCATTTGAGACATGGTGGCTTTTTCAACACCAAAATAAAGGGACACCACTATTTACAAGTTGCAGTGTTCAGGTGTGTAAGGATCCTTGTTGATCTTTGCACAGTTTTGGCTGGACTCCTTGAGAGCCAGAACATCGTCAGAACCCCCCCCCCCTTTTGGCATGGGAAACAACCCCGGCTGGTGTCCAGCAATGCTCGGCGGCATTCTGGGCCGTATGTCGATTTGCTAAAGGTGCCTGTCCTGTTTTTGTCTTTCAACTCGAGGTCTGTTCGGAACCTCCCGCAGGCCATGAAAAGGGATGCCAGAGGTCGCCCCGCCTAGTGTTTGCATTGGGACCATCCCAAGCAAGCCTGCACTACGGGGGTCTAACAGACCTTCGGTTGAACTGCCAGGGTTAGGATGCTGAAATCAAAGATTGCTTCTCCCGTTGCAAGGTCCTTCCTTTCAGGAACTTTCTCCCATCCTTTCAGGATGCTGATTCCTTTCTCCCTTCTCCGTTGCAGGGACTTTGGGACGCAAACAGCCCTTGTAATTCCCTATGGGTTCAGTGCCTTGTCTTGACGGTATGCTTGTTAGAAAGGGAAACCAAACGGAAGCCAAATATGTTGGGGGTTCGGTTTCCCTGTTTCGTGACGAACCCGCGCTCGGATTGCAAGTGCGCCCTTTGCTGGGCAAACCACGGCTACATGAGTGTGTGTGACGTAAGAGGAATCCACGCAAGGGCTGCTACGGTTGATTCCCTCAATCTTGCAAGGGAACGAGCAACACCCTGTAATTTCCTATGGCGTGTGCTTGGTTTCCTTGCAACATTTGGGGAACCCACCGTACGTCACTCATTGACTCAGCCCTTGACGAAAGGTGTTCCCCAGTTCCGACGGTTTGCCAGGGGCGATCTCGAGAAGGCAACACTCTGCCCGGCGCCCTTGAATCGTCGCATCAGGTTGACTGCTGTTCTCTCCTCATAAGGTGAGTTGTACTCAAGCAAAATCGAAGGGCAGAAATCCTTGCTTCGCTTGCCAACATCGGCAAGTGGGTTGCACCGCTTTGTTGACCCCCTTTTGAAGTTGGATGATGGTTTGCGTTGGAATCGAACAACCAGCCTTTCATTTGCTCGAGTGCCAATTCAGGTGCGAGAATCCCTTTGAACATCCCCACCATCCTGGAAAAACACGGAGTTGTTGCCCCCCAGAAGAACAAACAAGTGAACAAACAAATGAATGGGTATGTTTGTGCAGGAATTGAACAGCCGTCTTCAAGAGTGTGTGGAACTGAATCGAAGTCATCACCTTTCGAGCTAGTGGTGATTGAACGCTTGCCTTTGGTGGGGTGATGTTAATTTCAGACTCCGAGATTTCGGAAGTGTGCAAATCGCCGATGTCCTGCCATCCTGTGGTGCTGCCTTGCAATTCCTGTTTTAAAGCGGGCTCACTGGCCGAAAGCGAACTGACGTGAGCTTTGTGTGTTTTCTAAACGCAACCATTTATTTCCAGCCCCTCGGCCCCCCCAACCAGGCTTATCAAGGCTGAACCCTAGTCTTTGGGGGGGAGGTTTAAAATGAAGCCACTTTGGCCAGATCTTTCAACTCAAACCCACCCAACAGCTAGTTGCCGAGCCCACTTAAACCCCACACCAAGCCAAGACCCGCCCTCAAGTGAACGGCGATGCTGAACTGCGGTCAACCAACCTCAACAGCTTACCACTCCCGGAAAATACCCAACCCGGTAGTCAGAAGGCTCCAGCTCAATCCGGGGCATGGCATATTTTGCCCTAGCAAAATGGCCTTGCGAACCAGGTCCAGGTTTTTGTTTGGAAGACCAAGAAACCAACACCTCTGGGGTCTCCGGGTCTCCAGGTCTCCATGTCCCCAGGTCTCATTCCTTCGCCAGCCCGTTTGGCACGCAGGCGCCGACCTCATGGAGTCTCTAAAGCTGAAGGTCAGGAAGCCGGCGGCTCAATTCGAATGCCCCAAACGCGTGGCCGGCTGGGGAAACCCACCAGGGCCATGGGGTCCCGATGTTTTTTCAGGGCCATGGGCCCGTTTCCAAAGTGGGTGGATACAAATCCGCGAACTCTGATGTCAACCGGTCCCCAAATCCCTTTGGAGAAGGAGGTTTTGATCAGCCAGGCTTACGAAGGATCTGGGCGGGGGAGAAGCTCCAGGGGAATGAGAAGGTGTGAAATCTTGCCATGGTGTTGGTGTTTGAGATGTGTTGGCGTCAAAGGGAAATGGCAAGCTTCAGATCAAAAGAAACATACTCAGGGGGTAGGAAGCATCCTTTCGTCGGACTTGGCCCATGATTTTGGAGTCCCTGGAACCGGTGTGCAACAACGAGAATGGCAATGGTTTTATTGCGTGCTGAACAGTGCCATGTTCAATCGGGGCAAGTGGGGTGCATGTCCTTCGTGAGCTTGTTCAACCTTCGATTCTAGGAATCCAACCACCATCCAGAGGGGTCTCTGCTTTTGCACATACGCATGTATATGTACATACATACATGCACGCACGCACGCATACACGCATACACGCATACACGCATACACGCATACACGCATACACGCATACATGCATGCATGCATGCATGCATGCCTGCCTGCCTGCCTGCCTGCCTGCCTACCTACCTACCTACCTACCTACCTACACATACATACCTACCTACCTACCTACCTACATACATACATACAGACAGACAGACAGACATGCATGCATACATACATAGGGGAGTCCATTTACAGTTGGGTGAAAGTACGTGACACAATTTGAACCCATTTTGGTTTAGTCGCCCCCTTGTCTTACCAACTACTGCAAATAGACATTCACACACACACACATGTGCTATCTACTTCCACCCTGTACCAGGTTCCATGTTGGGCCCTGACTTTCGAGCCGTTTGCGTCGGTTTGCAACGAAGACACACACACACACATCCACTATCTACTTTCACCCTGGTTGCGGGGTTCCATTTTGGGCCCGGATTTTCGAGCCGATTGTCGGGTACGAAGGCCGGAGTACACCCAGCTTCTCCAGGCAGGATCCGTGAAGGCATGGGTGGCACGAAGCCCTCTGTTGCCCAGTGGGTTGCTCCCTTTTTTCCTTTTATTTGGCAAGGGTGTCCCTTTGAAGTCAACTAACCAAAAAGGATTCCGATTCTTTTTTCCCATCATCTGAGAGCTTTAGCAGTTGAAAGGAAGCTGGGTTAGAATCAGCTCCCAGATTGGATCAGCTCCCAGATTCATGCTTGTTGTTGGGAAGCATTTCTCATTTTTGCTTATTGTGGTTTAGTGGTTGAAACCACTTAACTGCTCCCCTTCCAAGGTCAACTAAGGATTGGTTCATCAGCTCCTTGAAGAAAGCCTCGTGGTCCCCAGACCCTGCAACGTGGGGTTTGTAGGGATGGTCATCTAACTAGTCGAAATGGGGTAGAAATTCCATGAACAGAAACAGACAGAATAAGCCCAAACGAAACACAAGACCCAGAACAGAAAGCAAGAGAGAGTTCAATGTTT